TTCCCTAGGAAACACTGATCCATCACAAAGCTAAAATCACATCTCTGATGCCTGGGGTACCCCTACCATCACCCAGCTCCAGACAGAAAATAAGCTGACTGTAGCTGCTACACATTTGGCAACAGGGCACACCAGGTTTAACTCAGGGACTGAGTGCTGAGCTGCAAGGCCTAGGATGGATGGACAGAAGGATCTGTTTATTCTCCTGTAAGTTTCATTTCATTCACATTTCACAAGCAGCTGGGCTAGGTTCTTCTAAGACGATCAGAAACCTCTGACATGGGAGCACTAAGAGAGCTGCGCTGCTTCCTGCCACACCAATTACCTCTTCTGTACTGCACTGGATGTGTCTGCACTGGAGCTGCTGCAAGGGCTGGCTTTTAAGTAACATGTTACCAAATACACACTCAGCGTGGATAACTGATTCTTCACAATTTTCCTCCGTTAGCTAAAAGGTATCAGTCTGACTTTCAGACTGACTAGCAAACTACTGCTCTTTGCATGCAAAAGACTATAGTGGCGGGAGCAGGTACAGAAAATAGCAAGCATGCTTCCTTGGGTCTTCTCCATGGATAACACAGAATGGGAGGGAGTTACTTTCCTGCTGCTCCAGACAACCATAGCAAAATGTTTGGAAAAACTAACGAAGAGGACATTTTCTGCTCATGAATTGCCAGCATTGCCTAGTAACATCATCTGGGTTGGTCTGTCAGTGAAGAAGAACATAAACAGATGTAAGAAAGTGTCATCAGAAATGAAAAAAAAAGAAAAAAAAACACACCAAAAAAACCCCAACCACCCAGACATGCTCAGGTGGCATTAACCACAACATCCTGAGGAACTGCACTAGTTGCTAGTTTCATTAGAAATACCAGTTCGCCTTGGAACTGAAGCTTGCTGGAAGGTGCTTGCTGTCATTACTGCACGGCCAGAGGATTGCCACAAATTTAAAGTCAACTCAGTTAAATCAGTTCAAGCTCCATATCTCTTCTCATGAAATAACATGCTTCTGCCCCAAAAAGCAGTGCTCCAATGGTTGGTATCACTGTTAGGCATGAAACATGCAACAAACACATTGGACCTCAATGATCTGGGCTCAATGGACATAATTTCTTGTGAAGAGTCAAGTATTGAGTTTGGGAACAGCATTTATGTGCCAGAGAAAGGAAGGAGAGAATTCTGCTTATGTAAATGAGGCAACTAGAAAATACAGTAAAACACTCCCTGTTTGCAACTTACACTACACAGTCATTAAAACAATTGAGGGGAAACAGATGTCCTTTTTCCAACATAGCCTTGTAAGAACCATCAAGAAAGTTTCACAGATGAGACTCAAAATTGCCTCTCCTATCCACCAATGGTTTAAAATAAACAAAACAATCCCCAGTGAGATCAGCAAGAGACACCTTCTTTATTTATGAAAACGAGCAGCTCCCCTACTTACGTCTAGTATTCTACAGGGCTGAGAAACAAGTAACCTAAATCCAATGCCACTATCAGGATTGATATACATGGAAGCTAAGAAAAAAAATCGTATTTCACTCCTGAAACCCCAGCTTCACATTTTCCTAATTTTTATGTGCAGTTTTACCTGAAGTTTGAACTGTTCTTTGATAGCCATGCTGAAACACACTATTCCTTTTGCATATATCTCCGTAACCTTCTTTCTACCTTCCCCACCATCCAGATCATGAATCTGGTGAGTCACAAGGCACTTCAGCAGCTTGACATGAAGGCTTATTTTCAAAGTACACTTAGTGCTGTTACAGGTAACTTCCGTTCCACTGCTCAGCTAGGAAATGGAAAACGGTCTTTTCCATTAACTTCCATTTATTTCCTTCCAACTAATAAAAAGCAGACCAGTACTCCCTTCCCCTTCTTTTTTAATAAAGGGCTATATCCCAGGCACTGTTTTAAGCCCTAAGGAGTTAAAGGAACAAGCAGAGGAAAACACATCTCTGCTCTTGAAATTCCTTTTGCATACAGCACTGTTGCAATTACAACATGCAGTTTCTGCACTAGAAGGCACTAATTCCAGTGCCATATGGCTTCAGAATCTCATTACACTGATCTGCTTAAAGTGATTTCCTAACTGACGAGCAAAACACTTTTGGTCACCTTCAGCAGTGGGAAACAAGAACTCTGCCATTATCAGTGCACACTTCCTCCCACGCAAGCTGCCAAAAGCAGACATGAGTACAGCAAAGATCAGAAGACAGCCTAGCTAAGGAACTTTTGTTGTCATCTCGAAGTTGTGCAGACATCCAGGGCTAATCAAGGGCTGTTACCATTATTAATAGAAAAAAACAACCAAACAAAAAACCACCAACCCACAAACAAAAAAAGCCCATGCCATCGCTGCTGGATTAGAGAAGCTGCCCAGGAGATCAGGATATGAGTGGAATCTTCATCGGCCAAGCAGTGGGCAGGTCTTGCTGCTGCACCTGCAGGATTTATTTTATCTGCTTTCTTGACCTCTGTAGCTAAGCGCACATCAGCAAGAACAGGAGGCATTTCTGTCCTGCTAGGCATCTGCTTGGCGAGATCAACAAACTGATTCCCAAAGTTACCAATCTGTAACTGCACTCTAGATCCAGGGTTTAGGCTTGGTGCAAAGTTATTCCAGTCCTGATCATGAAAATACGCAAGGACCCAAGTGAGGCTAAAAGCCTTTCTGTGCAACACATACCCAAAACAC